AATTTTTATTTTTGTTAGGATTGCAAAACAAAATTTTGCAACATTTTTAAAATTTTTGCTTTCATGGTATGTGCAATAGAAGCAATTATCATTTTGTTCTTTAGTTTCATAAAGTAAATTATTTACATAAAATTTATTGTTTTATAACTTAATTACAATATATAAGCTATTAATTGATTTGTTTTGTATCTAAATGCGAATTTGATGAATAATTTTAAAAATTTTTTTGATTTTCACATTAGATTCAGTTAAAAATTCTAAAAAATATTGATAACTCAATTAAAATTATTACAAAGACGATCATACTACAAAATAATTACTACTTTATGTATATGTAATCTTAAATCTACGAAGTTTTAGTTGAAAAAATCATTATAATTTTGAATTCCATGAATCTTTGTGCAATTTTTAAACAAGAAAACTAAATGCCAAGCATTTTATATTCACATTTCATTCAAGATTTGTAATTTGAAAATAGAACTGCAATTCTTATTCATTATAATTATATAGAAGCTTTGGCAATATTTTAAGATTGCAGTATATTGATTTAAATGTTAAGTATAAAATAATTTCATTCAATTTCAAAAAGATATACTTGTTAAGCAATAAAATAAAAATTTCTCAACTCAATGTCGTTTTTACTCCTCAATCACTCACTAAGTAATATGAATCAAAAATTAACAATAATACTAATATTATTAACTAATATAATAAGCAAATAAAATGATATATATTATATATACTAACTATAAGATGTCAAATTGAAAATTTAAAATTAATCAAATGCAAATTCACCTCAAAATAAAAAAATTTAATTTTTGCTTTTGAAAGCATCAAAAACATAAAAAAATATTCGTGACAACACCTTTGATATATAAAAAAAACACAAAAAATTTTAATATAACGATTTATAGTTTTGGATGTAGGTATATATGTTTATATTGATCAACCACAATATTAAACACTTAAACCCAAGTTTTTATTGTAAAACTCTAAACTTATAGTGAAATTAAGCTCATATTAAAACCAAATCAAATATTATACTGCAGCGTTACTCTTATCTTAAGCCCCATTCTAAATCAAAAAAAATTTACGAGAGTAATAAATTTCGACTACAAAAACAATAATCTAAATAAATTATTTAAAAAAATATAATAAAACAAAAATATAAGGGGCTTATGCAAAAAAAAATTTAAATTTTCTTTTCTTGAGTGAAAATACTCATACAAAATCTTTAAATTTCCATATTAACATTTCCATTTTAACATCAATTGAAACTAAAATTTAAATTTGAAAGTTATACTTGCATACTAAGAAACAGAATCTGAATTCATGAAAAATTTCATTTAAATCACATCAAAGAATTAAGTCGGGGATCAAAACGATTTCATTTTATTTCTCTAATAAGTAAAGCGGTTCTGTTAGCACACCTTTTTTTTTTTACCATGTCATATTCTCATAAATATTCGCTTAATAAACGGTAAACATTAATTTTAGAAGAATTAATTTTTTTTAACCGTGGCCTGTACGTATTGTTTTTTTTTTGCTGTTTTCCTAATTTTTTCCTTATTATTAAGATTTAATATTAACTATTGTTTTAAAGAGTTATAGTTGATTTTAGTATTTATAATACTACCACAGCAATTACGAAATATTAAAAAAAAAAAACTTCTAAAAACAAAAGAAACTAATTTAGAAAATTTATTTTAACATTTTGATTAATAATTTGTCTTATAATATTTTCCAACTTTAACTCTATATATGTATGCAATAACTATCTTTTAATATTCTAAATAAAATGTTAGGCGCTTACTAATATTTACTATACAAGTACATACAAGTATATCACTGCATTTTGGAAAAAATTTTATATTATATTCTTTCATGACATTATCAATGAAAGAAAAACTCTTATACATGTTTATTGTTTTATTTTGCTTGCGACTATTTCAGTGCAATGTAGGTGCGGAAAAACATAAGATTAACATTTAAAAAAGGTAGAATTTCTGTTCGGGGCATATCATAGATAAAAATTAATATAAATTGTTTTTTTTTTGCCTTATTATGGTATAACAATATTTTTTTTCTATTATATTTTTTGCGGATATGGTTATTATACAGTAAACTTGTATAAATATAATTAAAATGAATTAAAAATGCAGGATTTTAATTCTAAGAAAAATCATTTAAATATTTCAATTTTATTTAAAATTATACAAATATACATATGCATTAATATTCATAGATATGTAAACATATGTACAAACAATTAAATAATTCGAACAAAAAAAAAATTAAATTATTTTTATTATATAATTTTATTATTATCCGTTAAAATTATAGAAAAATTAAAGTTAATTTTTTTTTAATTCTTTGTATATGTATATTGTTGTTTTCATTAGTAAATTAAGATCAAAATATTGTATTAATATTATAATAAGTGAGAAATTTTATATCGGTTCTTATATTTATGTACAGAGTGTTTCATTATCCTGATACTATCGTAAAAGTTTGTTTGTGTGTAACACATTGCTTTCTACTATTCGAAATACATCAACATAAATGAATAGTATAACAGTATGTTAGAAACTCTTGATATACGACAATATGAGATGAAATAGAATTTCGTAAAAAAAATGCAATAATTTTGTTATAACAGTTTCCATAGAGATAACGTTATTTTTAATATAAATGAAATGATAACGGTAAATTAATATATTTTTCGGAAAGTATAAATAAAATGTTTCATAAATAAATTAAACTGTTATACAAAAATAACTGTTATAATAAAAGTGTTATATTCTTGAATAACATTATTATTAATTAAAACGACCTAAAGGGATAAATTTTTTGAACTGCTTATCAACGTTTTTTCCCTATTCTTCAAGAAATAGATTAAGAATATGATTAATATTTTTAATTAAGTAAAAAATTCATCACTGCATTTATCATAGGCAAGATTTATTAAAAATATTTTTACTGTAATTTACACAATTTAACTTGGAACGTAAGATTGCAAATTTTTGTGTAAAAGATAAATTTAAATCCTTTAAACCAATTATGTAAAAACGGATGTAAAACCAAAAAAAAACCAAGAAAACAAAAATTTGCTCGCAAAACTTTTTATAGGGTGCGGGTACATTCAATTAGTATGTTGATTACTGGAATTCGCACATTCGAGATTAGTAATGATTTATGATTCTTAAAAAAAAAATAACATGTTTTTCTCATAATCTACTTGTTATAGAAAATATAAATGTACGGACTGAATATTCTAGAAATGATTTATTTTATTAATTTATATCACAAAATATGCTATATAATTTTGTAAACTGCAATGAAAAACACAATTTAGCCTAAAACTATTCCAAAATGAAATAATATACATTAACATACATAATATATCACAGTTTATAATCAAAACAAATAGGAAACTCTCATTACATAATATTTTAAAAGAATAATTCCTTTTAAAGTGGTATATACATAAAACACTCTGTTATACACTATAGAAATATCGCGCTGTTGGCATTAAATAATAAAATTTTAAATCTATATTGTTCTAATTATTACAAAATTACTACATGTAATAAATACATTTATGTGCTTTGTATATAATATCGAATTAATATTAAAAATCGTAAATTAATCAAATATCTATGTAATACACCCTTTTTTTCTTCTAAAATGTTAAAAATTTATAATCATTTAATTTTTGAGTAGGTAATAAAATATATTCGTTAATCTCATATTGATTTTCAATAGATAAACTTATAATTTCAGAATAAATTTTTTAAAAAGTTGAAAACAAAATTATATAGGGAGTACAAGTATAGTTTATAGATGCAGGAAAAAAAAAATATTTTATTAATAGCAATTAAACTATTTATGATTAGAAATTAGTTGTAAACAATGTTTATGTTTTATGTATACCTATATACAAACTAATAACATTGTAATTTGAAAAAAGGTTATGAACTTTAAGATTTTCAATAAATCTGTTATATAGAAAGAAATAAATGATTTTTTGTATAGATAAACGAATTGCGGTTATGCGGTTCTTTTTTATAATTTCAATCATTTTCACCAATAATATATTTTAAGTCTTGCATACATAGCTATATAGATTTCTATAAAAATTAAATTTTTTGATATTTATTGAAATCGTGATGTAAATTAAATAGTTCTTAATTTTTTCTTCTTGTTTTATTTTTTGTAATGTTATCAAATTAATAGTTAATAATTAAATTTTCCTAATGCTGCGAATTGAAAAAAAAAATATTGTGAATTGGGTTTAAATTTTAAAAAACATTTAATTGACACATATGTATATAAAATAACTAACTCCAATTAATAATAAGCAGACACTTAAGAATTTACTCAAATTAGTAGTTTGTAGTTAAATTTATGATTTAAGAATAAAATTTCGATATATGTACTATAACTACTCCTGTACGCCCAATGTAAATCACTACTGTAATAAATTCTGATTTATGATTGTTTTTTTTTTAGAATTATTAAGATTTTAGTTTTTATCTGAAATATTTGTGAGACTTTTAGTAACCGTAATTATGCGATTTTTGCATTGTAGAATATGGTACATGTATATACTTTTAAAAGCTGACCTTGCTTAAGGAAATAATGAATAAGTTAGCGAGATAAGCTAATGAAATAGACAAATTCTTAAAAAGAACTTTATCATAAATAAATTTTCCATTAAAATTATTTATTTTAATAAAATTTATTCTTAGAAAGTCATTTAATAAAAAATGTCATATTGCATGTATAAAATCTACTCCAAAATAATTTTTTGCTAAAATAAAAAAAAAAAACAGTTATAGTTATTGTATAAGGCAGAAAAAACTAATTATAGTTTGCAAATAAAAAAATAACTAAAATATAAGACCAAAGTACAAAAAATAAATTAAAGTTGTTATACTTATATTAGAACAGTTTCTCAAATTATCTTATTAATATATGTATGAATTTTTAATTTTCAGATTGATCCATGTAATCGTATGTGGGTAATTGATTCAGGACGTATAGGTGATATACAATATTGTCCACCGCAATTATTAGTTTTTGATTTAACAACAGATACATTATTCCATCGTTATAAATTTCCAAATAATGTTTATAAATCTGGTCAATCATTATTTATTACACCGATTGTAGATACACGTGATCCACCACCAGTTGGTCATTGTTTAAATTCAAAAGTATATATTGCTGATGTTACTGCATATGGTTTAATTGTATACGATTCAATGCAAGATGATTCATGGCGTATTGAACATGAAACAATGAGATCATCTGATCAATTTTCAAATATAACAATTGCTGGTGAAAGTTTTATGTTACAAGATGGTATCTTTGGTATGTCTGTAACACCACATGATGGTGGTGAAAGATTTTTAATATATCATCCATTAGCAAATAATATTGAAGTTATGGTACCATTAAGTAAATTAGATAATAAATCATTATGGAGAAATCCAAATTCAAATGGAAATATATTCCAAGTAATTGGTAGAAGAAATGAACAAGCATCAGCACAAGCAATTGATAGTCGCGGTAATTTATTCTTTGGATTAGTTAATTCAATTGGTATTGGTAGTTGGAATTATAAGAGCCCATGGAATGGTAATAGTTCAGCTGTATATATAAATCCAGAAACATTACAATTTGCAAGTGGTTTAAAAATTGTTAAAAATCAAAATAATCAAGAAGAATTATGGATTATGACAATTCGTTTTCAGGTAAAATTACCAAAATTTTATATTCTTATTTTTGAATTTAAGTAAATCGGTGACGTTATTACAAATTGTAATAATCGGTTACACCATAAAAATTCATTAACATAGAAAAATAATTTTTAATATTCAAAAATTGCTTCGCCTAAATATATGCAATATTTTATTAATTAATAAATATATAATTTTATTTGCAGAAAATAATGGCTGGAACTCTGAATACAAATGAAATTAATTTCCGTATACAAAAAACTTTGGTCAACAATTTGATTTGTTAAGCATCCTGGAGAATTATTTTAACTGCTGCATTCTAAATTATAGTGTACTTTAGCACTCTAATTAAGATTCATTTTGTAATCAATTTCTAGTTTTATAGAAAAGCTTTAAAAAAAAAAAAATTAAAATTGTAATACTTTTGTAATTTGTTTTAGTATAAAAAAAACAAAAACAATATGTATGTTTGTAAATATAAAAATTAAATTTAATTATTAATGAAATTTTACATGTTTAAGAAACACTTGATATAGCTATTTTTGAAATTTTTTAGAAAAAAATTGCAATTCTATTTAGAGTAAAAAAAATTTTTATATAAAACATGTAGTATGAAAAAATCACCATCTATACTATAAAATCTAGTTAAATCATTAAAAAAAAAAATAACTACTTAGTTGTGTACTTGTATATGTATCATTTTTTGTAAAACATTCGAAAAAATATATTATTATGTTTATAATCTATTTTACTTCACTTTGTTAATCCTTGATTACTATATATAAAATATGAAACTAAATTTAAAATTAGATGATCATAGTGAGATCATCGTTACTGAATTATTTTTTAACAAACCATATAAGTCTATAGCGGAAAAGTTACTTTATAAGTTAATAAAAAATTGAGTAGATAATCGGATTCTAGGGCCCCTTTACATTTTGTCAAACGAATTTAAGAAATTCACCACCATGTTGATTCAAAACTTCATTATATTAATTATAATAATTAATTATAATAAAATATAATAAATATACATAGTTCAATATACGAACATAAATTAAAATTATTTTAATGAATCAGATAACATCCTTATCCAAAAATATTCTATATAGGTCCCGAAGCTGCTCAATAAGCTAAGGAAAATTATAAAGAATTAGAAAAATTTTTGATTGTCAGAAATGGAAACCCTTTTCAAAAGATTCTGAATAGAATTTGAATTGAGAATTAATTGAATCCTTTGCTTTTAAATAAAACCCAGAACATGCATTTTGTATTGTAAAAGAAAATATGAATTAAATATGAATATCTAATTATAACAATAGAATGTAAAAATGTTAGTATGATCAGAAACCCTTACGCTTAACTAAACAGTGCATACTTTTCTTGAATTCTTATAGGTATTCTGTATTGTTAATAAAATAAATTAAAAATAATGAGAAAATATTACAATTTTTCTTAAGATTTTTTTAAGAATTTCAAATCCTAAATATTAGCCTTAATCGTATATCCGTATTGGCAGAATCATATATTTTAACTCCAAATTCAATAATAAAAAAAAACAATAAATTACCTGTTGTAAGGAATCCTCAATATTTCTCATTCGTTGTAATTCTCTAGGTGTAAAATCTAAATTTATTATAATTACTTCATCTTCTCCCATATTTAGATTTGATTTATACTAAAAATAGTTGATTTCATAGTTAACCAAATAACAAACATATAGATGTTATTCTTACCTTCAAAAGATCTGGAAGCCTATCTCGACCCATTCTGATTTAGTAATTAAACCCCTTTAATATTATAATTATTATTAAATTTAATTGTTTATTCTATAAAATATAATTGATAAATACAATAATTATATTTTAAATTTCCGCAATAGTTTTTCTTTTCAACAAGTTGATCCAAAATCCGAAAATATACTGGGACATTTCATATTAGTTAATATGTATGTAATTCGAAATTATTATTATTATAACCTGTAATCAAAATAAAAAATAAATATGTATATGTACATGTTATGTATATATATGAAGTAATTTCTAAATTATCAATGATATTGTATGCTTTTTGATAAGAAAATTTTATTCACATAAATTTTGTGGCAAGTTTTTTTTTTCCACCGCGCATACAGTTTTTGTTCAAAATTTTAAGAGACAAATATTCCATGTTGAAAATGTGCCGAAAATTTATAAAAAAATTCCAAAAATTTTAATTTTAAGGTAAAAATCACATTCAAAATTATTTGTAGCTCTGATCTGGTGTTGTATAATTACTCCAAAGATCATTACAAGTTAATAATACAAGTATCTTACACAACGATCATGACACTAATGAATTGCAAAGAAAAGAAAACCTCTACAATTTAAATTAAAAAAAATTGAGTTACTTGTGGTAATTTATGGTACATAATATGTGTATTCTGTAAAAAGTTTCTATAAAAACCAATAACAAAACTTTTGCTCTCAAAAAATTACTGTTCATATAAATTATGCCGGTGTTCATATCTTATCAAAAATAATTTTTTCACTGAACTGATTATACATGGTTCTTTATGCTTTTACCGTATAATTATCTTGCTTGTAATAATTTTATTCATTCACAAATTAATTTTTATTTATCCATTTGTAACACCAAATAAAATAAGTGTAAAATAAAATTTAATGGTATTTTCAAAATGAGAATTTTGATTTTAAATTGAAAACAGAAGTAATTATGTACATCACTAATAAAAAGTGATGCCGTTTTATTGAATATGTCGCTAAAACCTATTAAAGCCGCAAGATATCGCTAAATTTCTTTTAGCGACTTGATTCTCATTTTTTGACGCTGAAGTTTTCAAAATTTCGCTAAATAAAAAAAGTGTAGGCGTCGCTCAGAATAGACAGTAACAAATTGTGTCAATAATTTTCATTTCAAGTATATTATATATTAATACTCTCATATTTAAATTCCAATAGTTTACCGGAACAATTGCATATATAATTTCATATTCCAACGTTATTCTCACGTCATCACCATAATATTATGCCATTTATATTACGTTATTTATTTTAGTGTAGGTTTACTTTATTGCGAAAAAAAAAAAAAAAACTTTCTTCATAATTGTTAGCGAAATAAGTTTAAAGAAAATTCTTTAAATGTATATCTACCCACAAGCTAAACTTTTTCTTAAATAATAAAATAATAAAAAAAATATATAAGTGATGTATGCTTGTTATACTTAACATTTAATTATGAATAAATTAATGTTTCCGCAACAATCGTATTTTATGAAAATATTGGAAAAGAAAAAACCAGACAACACTTATGCATAAAGATGACAGAATTGACAATAAATTGACGAAGAATAATTGTTTTTTTTTTTCTTTTATTGAAATAAATTTTTCGGAAATTTACCCTTAAAATATTTTTGAAATAGAGCGGTTTTTAACAAAGCACTTTAAAATTTTGTATCATATCTTGAATTCTATTTTCTTTAAGAATATAATAATAATTTATAGGGTAGAAAATTTAATGCACAAAATGCATAAATGCCATGTACATATGTAAAAGATTTGAAATAATTTCCAATTAAATAAATCCCAAGCGATTTACCCCAAAATCATGAACCAACTGAATGTCTGTCACTTCATCAAAAACTTTTTTGTGGTATAACTGTATCAAATATATACGCATTATTTTGAAGACAAGTCTGGGTATAATTTATGAATTTTTGTAATCTATAATATTGTTTTATTATTGATCGTATTGTCGTCAAAATTTCATATGTGTATGCTATATAAATCAATGGCATACATTTCAAAACACCTGTAAATTATGTTTCAAAAATCAAATACAAAAGTAACTCATATTTCGTATAGAAAAGCTTTTTATGAAAAAGAAAATCTTTAAAAATAAATTTTGTATTTAACTTTTCGAACTTTTGTATATTTACATAATTAATTTTAGCCGTTCGTACAATAGGAACAAAAACGTTCTAAGTTAGTATACATGCGTTTTGTACGTAAAAATCTTATTTGATAAGAAAATTATAAAAATGAATACACAATCATTTCGTGTACATTTTCCTCTGCTACCCTTTAAGTATATGATCCAAAATGTTATTAAATATTACATAAACAATGTTATTAAATTCTAATTAAACAACAAAACTGTTATTTAATAATCACAGTTTATAAGTTCTTATATGCATAATAAATACTCTGACAAAACTCATTGAATATTGAACTAAAATGTTGACTTGAAGGAATTACTTTTTATGTAAGTATTAGTTCTAAGATCGAAACAAATCGAAATTCTCGAAAATTTTTAATTTGTCAAAAATTAAATATTAACTTGGAAATTAGATTACAATAATGTCTTTTAAATATTTTATTTTAAAATTTTCCTAAAACTTATTTGTATAGCGTTTATAATATTTAAAATAAAAATTTTTGGTTAAATTCTATTAATAAATATTAAATTTATTTATGAATATATTCGCATAACATTGTATGTATGTATATGTAAATTAATATTCAATATATCACGTGTGCCTGCGAATAAAATTATTTTATTAATAGTAAAATGAGTAACATTTCTATTTTCAATATAGTCCATTGAAAATATTATTAAAAACTTGTTAATTTAATTAAATATAGTGATCATTTTAAATCTGTATTACTTTGTTAAATTTTAACATTACTGATATTTTTCTTTACACTTAATGTTAAATAAAGTAATAGTCCATTGAAACAGTAAATTATTACAGGTTATTTAGCTAGATCAGTTATTTAGTCCAGTTGATTCACTTGTGGGAAAAAAACTGAATTTCATTAAGAAAATAGTTTCCAATTTTTATGAGATTTTATATGCAATTGAATAATTCCAACATAAATTTAAAAAAATATTTTAACAAAATTTTCCAGTTAATTTTTTAATTATTATATGCTAGTTTTTGCATCGATTTTATAATTACTTATAAATTTTACTAAACATAAATTGCAGTCTAAGAATATTAATTGTTTAAAAACAGATTAAATATATTTTTTTTAGTTTACTAACAAAAGTTCAGATTATATGTATACCTATATAAGTGTAAATTTGCTTTAGAAAGCTGCTCGTAAAACGATTATTAAAACTAATTTATTTTAATGAATTTTATTAAAATAAACTTGAAAATAAAACAAATACACATTATTTAAAATTCCTAATATTTATAATTAATGCAAAGCTATATATATACATATATAACATTACATTTAATAATTTACAATAAACTAGAAGCTTTAAATAAATAATAATTTAACAAACCACATGTTAAAATTTTAACAAAAAAATAAAAATTAACTATATAAGAATTACAAGTAGAAAAGAAACTGTTTTATTTTTATTTTTTTTTTTATTTTATTAATAAAGAGCGAAAAAATAAGAATATAAGCACAATATAAATTCTCAGAGTTAATAATAATGAAAGTTGAAATTATTTTTGAATTGGTAATTCCACAATTGGTATTCCCATGATTAATCAGAAACTAACCACATGCTTATTTTACTGGAAAAAAAAAATTATTTAAAATAAATAAGAAACTATTCAGACATCTTAAAAAAATTATCAAAATTTTTATCATGAAAATTGTTCTTCCCTTCAATTTTGGAACAAAATGGGATTTTATAAAAAACCAAACAAATTTCGGCCAAATATTCTTAAACTATGTTAAATATTTTGTTTCCGGAATTCACTGATAAATATAAATGATTATAAATTCTCTTCAAACTCACCGAAAATTAATGGGATATTCGGCACTCGAGATAACTACAATATTGAAAGATTTGGGTTGTTTAATTATGATATAATTTTATTTTAAGAATTTCAAAACTATGTAAGCATTATTCTAACTAAAAATTTTTATAATAAAAATAATTCAAATATTAATTTTAACCTCTTGATTCTTCATTTTCAATTATTTAAAAAAGTTTGATTTTCTTTTATAATAAATGTGCTTATTTCCAATACTTTATATACAATTAACTTATTTACATTAATTTTTAATTGCAATATTTTCAATGCAATATCAAATTAATATTTAGTCATATTGAAATTATAAGACTTTTGATCTAAAGGAAAATAAAAAAAAAACTATGTCATGTTAAAAATAATAAAATAAATTCTACAAATCAACAAACTCATAAAAACTTTTATGGAAAGATTTAAAAAATATAGGCTATTAACAACACCATAATATTATAAAAAATAAATGAATAAATTTATGATTAAATTTTATTCGGTTTGATCCAGTATCATCATCCTTTAAAAATATAAAATACTCGTATATTATTCATATAGCTGCATACGAGTACGTACTTACATATTACACAATTGTATTTTATACATTCTTATATACAAGTGCATTAAAAAAAAAAGCGCATCATGTAATTTATAACAATAAAATTTACCCTTTCGTCTTGAAAGACACAAAAAAAAATAAAAATAAATCGTTGGTATTTTAATAGAATCTTAACTTTATGTACAAAAAGTATATACATATTTTAATACAAAATATGAATTATGATTAAAATTAAGTTTATTTATTTTATGATACTTTTCCCGTGGTGGGTATAACACTTCATTGAGTTATACTTGTAACATAGAACAAGTACACTTGTAAGTAATATATTTAAAATTTTATCAACTTAGAAAATTGTAAGTATATTGTTGGAGATGATCCCCTTTGTCTTTTAAAGTATATATTTAAAACTTATGAAAATATTAGACTTTGATCATAAACAAACACAGTATTTAACACTAAAAAGAGTTATTTTCATTTCTGCGAAAACAATAGATTACATTCTAGAATTCATATAAATCTATATTATTATTGTTATACCTTGATTATTTTATAACAAAGAAAATTAATTAAGTTTAAGATTTTTTTGAGTGCACTATCAAAACGCAATATTTTTTTCCACTTTTAATTAAAATATATTATAAGCACATTAATTGCAGCTAAAAGTATATAAGAGAAGACTATAATAACTACTATAGTTAATTCATATTTTATTTTTATATATTTTTTTCTTTTTTTAAATGAATCATTATAATAAATTCTACACCATCATTGTGAGGTAAGATTATTCCATTGAAAGGGGGTAAAATAATAAAATAAAAACAACACTGTTGTGTTAATTTCATTAAATCACACATGATAATACGTAAGCAGTTGAAAAAAAAAAAAATATTTTAGATGTGGTTTTTAATTTTAAAATAAAAATAATAATTTCTTTTCTATTTCAAATCATTGAGCTTTTTGTACATATAATCAAGCATAGTGCATAATTTTTTTCACATTTGTAATTTTTTATTATTTATTTATAATATATAAAAAAAGATACGACACCCTGTTCTAATCTGTGTCCAAATTCTGCAAGATAAAAATTTTATATTTAATTTTTAAATTGATGTTTTATTCTTTTATTTATATTATTCATGTTTCCTTTTATTTATTATCTAACTTAAATTTTACAGTGTGTATTCACTTTTGAATTTTCTTTTTGTTATAAATAATGTATATTTGATCATTTCTTATTATAAATAACATAAATTATAAATTTTTATTTATACAATGTGTTCATATATGTATGTTTGGATGCACGCACCTATTTTACACACGAACACTTATTTTATATAAAAAAACAAAAAATTAATATTAGCATTCTTTTCATTATATTTGTTATATATACTTATAGTATGTAACGACCCAATTTGATAATTCCGGAAATTAGTTTAAATTTAAGTTGTAAATTGAAGAGATAATAACAAAATATCTTCTTTTTATTTTTTTATTATTAAAACTTATAACTCTATTTCAATATTATTATATCTACATAAAATATTTATGATTTTTTCATACATAATTATTATTTTCTTAATAATTTATTTCGTAAATATTAAAGATAATTAAAATTTACCTTTCTCTTTTACACTATTACATTGAATATTTGCAAATAATTTATTTAAGAAAAGAAATATAGATGAGATTTCTTAATTATCACGTTATAGTATTTTTTTTTTTTTAACTTAATAAACCGGCGAATTCTAACCGACAACTACTCAAGTATATCAATCTTATAAAATCAATTGCTATTGCAAATCTAAAGTATGATTATAAGAATTAAAAAGAAAATTTCACGATGTTTTACTTGACACTACATTTATTATTATCCAGCTATATAAATAAGATTGCTGTATAAAATATTATGTAGAAGCTTTTTCTGTTCAGCTAAATAATATCACTATATTTATATATTGTATTGTATATTGTATATAAAATATGTAAATGAATGATATTCTAGCATGAGAGGTAAACTGAAAATTACGTTAAATATTTTTAATATAAAAAAAAATTAATGAAACTTAATATGTGATTGAAACGAATATGTTTTTCAACCCAATAGTTCCTATAATAAACAGGTAATGCACTAATATTGAAAACATTTTAAATATATTGTTTAATAAAAGTATAAAAATTTCGCAGAACTATTACGTAAATGGTAAATTCTTTGGAATCAGAAATTCATTTTTATGAGAGAAACTTGTTTTTAAATATTTTGTAATTCTTACCTTAACTTTATGCAACAATCGTTTTTATATTTATTAGACTATATGGCTAAGATACTACCCAAGAACAGTTTTAACGAAAATCCTAAGTCTTTTTTAAAAAAATATTTTCTTAATATCTTAAATTTTTTTTGATGGTTCCTTGTTACATCACCCTCTTACTTCATACATTTTACAATAAAATCAAATTAAAATTTACAAAATTATTCATTAAAGTATATTTTAATTCAGTAAAGGAAAAATTAATACAAATTTGAAATTTTACAATGAGTATGAGTAACGTAACAAAATTTATATTTTTGTTTTAATAACTAAAAATTATAATATATAATGTAATTATAATATGATAGAATAAAAATGATGTCCAAATGGTATTAGGATTACTCAATATTTTCAACAGTTTTATTTTCTTCAATTGAAATATCTGTCTCAATTTTTATTTCATTCTCAAATTTTTCTTCTTTTTCATTCTGCTGTTGGTCTTGATTTACTTGATTTACTTGGTGATTATCAAGATCTTCTAAATTATTTTCAGGTGATCGGATATTTCCTTCTGATTTTCTTCTAATATTGTTTTCAGATTCTGATTTTTCCGATTTTTCTCTAACTCTTCCAGATCGAGTTCTCTCTGAATAGCGACTAACTTTTCTTTTAACATTCGTTTCATCTTTCTTTTCAACCTTTTCAATTTTCTTGCCACATTCGCCATCTGATGTTGGATTACTTTTAGTCTCCTTTGGCTCAGCACTAGCTCTTCCATCACTATTACCACGTGCAAATCTCAGACGTCCAGGTTGATATATTTCTATAGAGGGGCGATCCTATATTAAAAATAGATACAAAAATTATTTGATATTTTAGAAACTTTATTAATATTGTTACATACCTTGTTGCGAATTCTTCGAAGTTCCCTATCATCCTTAGATGGTTTGTCATTTTTCTCATTTGCACTCGAACTGGACCGCGACCCACGTCTACTAGACCGTGTAGCATCATAATCTTGTAATATTTTGTCATTGTCAAGAATGTCTTGCTTATCCGATGATTTTTCAATTTTTTTTTTTTTGTTCTCAATCTGGCCAAGAGAAATCTTTTCAAGTTTTTCAGTTACTTCATTCAAATTATTAGTGGTTTTCTCATTCTCCGGCATTGCAGGAACATCTTTAGTGTCTATGTCAGCCTTTATTCCATTTGATTTGGAACATAAATCTTTTATTATTGCAGCATTCATAATAAAATCTTTAACATTTTCATTTATTTCACCACTTTGACTATTTGATGCAGTGGAATTTTTGTCCGAACTAATTGAATCAGATCTGTTAACGTCATTTTTATTTTTGAAAACTTCCTCATTTTTTCCATATTTTGTATCTTCTCTTGATTTAATTTTATCTTTTCGACTTTCACTATATTTTTTTACTTCAACACGTTTAACAGATTCTGAATCTTTATTATATTTTTCTGGATAAGATTCTTTGTTTTTGTCATCCTGAAACTTTCTTTCTTTACGATCTCGATCACGCTTCTCTCTTTCCTGTCGCCGTTTCTCATCTCGTTCCTGTCTTCGCTTCCTCTCTTTTTCCCGTCGCTCTTCATTGCGCCGTTCACGCTCCTGCTTCTCTTTCTCATATCTTTCATTACGATTGTTCCGGTTATCCCTATTGTTGCGATCATTTCGATCTTTGCGATCGCTATGATCATTCCTATCTTTTCGCTCCTCACTTTTGTTGAAACTATCCCTTTTTTCAAGCGACTTTTCTTTTGTTTGATTTTCCTTCATTTCCTTAAAATAATACAAATCAGACAATATTTAAAAGCTTTAAAAACAATATTCTAATAATGGAAGTTATTTTATAAACAGGCAATGAAAATACGTATGTACATATTTGTACATACGTACGAACATAAATTTTCGTAAGTGGGTAGGTAATTGAAAATTATATTATAATCAATAATAAAGTAATACATATAGTATGTACAAAATTTCTGGACCAAACAGAAAATTCGACTTAAATTTTTGATCCCTAAAAGTACCCTGAATTTTAGTTGTCAATTGAACATCACCATACCATATTAGACATTTTTCTTAAAATTTCTTGAATAAACGTTTTAAAACTCTTTATTTGGAGTTTTTCCCATGGTTTTTATTATTATACATTTATGCATGTATATAAAAAAATTCAAAATTTTATCTGAAAACTTACTTTTGGTTTGCTTTCCTCTTCTTTTATGGCTGGTGGAACTTTCTGGGCGATTACTAACTTTTTCTTTTGTCGCACTTCTTCTCTCCTTTGTTTTCTTTCTTCAGCTTTTCTCTTTTTTTCATCACGTTTTTCTTGCATTTTATTTGCCACATATTGAAGAAGAGGTGTTGATGTTATCTTAACATCCTTTGTCGACTGTAAATTAAATTCTAATTTCATTTCACTTTTCTCATTTTCCTCAGCTTTTAACTTTTCTAGAAAATTTATATAATGCTGATCCGTCTCGATGCTATTAATTTTTGGATCTCGTTTACGTGAACGATTTTTCGGCAATCCTTGAAAAGGTGCATATTCAACTAAAGCTGGATATTCTACACCTTTCTTGTCAACGAAGACGTAACCATCAAAACGATCTTTGAATAAGAATATATCATCCTGATTTTTAAAATTTAAATATGCACGACAAGTTGCTTCCTGTCCCAAAGACCAATCAGCCAAACAATAATAATAGCTTTCACAATCTGGCATCGGATCAATTTGCTGAAAAAATTCTTCCTCAGACATGGTTGGTGGTAGCCGCCGTACAATGACCTATAAACAACGCTTACTGTTAGAAAGTTCAATACAAAATAAATCACTTCTGAAAAATTAAGTTCAAATTGCGTTTCTCGCTCATTAAAAAAATTTGAATGTGTGGTGAAAGCATAAACCACTTTCCGGTGAAAGTATATTGCTTAAACGTGTAAGATACAAAGTAGGGAGTTTAGAAAAAATTACCTTAGTTAAAGGTTTTGCTTTATTTCGAATACTTTTTTCTCGGCTTTTTAAAATCGGTTTTTCATCCTTTTTCTTTATTTCTGCTTCGTTGGTCATTTTCAATTATTTTATGTTAGCAAAATATTTTAATATCAAACATGAATTGTATAAGAAAAATTTAATTTTAAGTAGTTGTTTAAACCCACAAACAATTGGCTTGCACCTTTCACTATAAATAATCAGTGGACAGTAAAATATATGTATGATAATTTTCACGATACCACATCAATCAAAACAAAAAATTTAACTAAATTGTCATAATACAGCAGCTGATTTTGACATTTTATATAAGAATACATGACGCAAATGTACTGAAATGTCACTCATACTCATATATACATAATATACAAAATGTCGTTGATAAGTTTGCATGCATGATACAAACGAATCGAGCAAAATCTATTTTAATAATATTGCAAAATTTAGAAGAAATTAACAAAGCTAAACTTTAAACAGACAAAAATTTTAAGAATTAAATGGAAACTAAGTAAAAATATTTAAATCAGAAAATTAATGTCTATTAATATTCACTTTTCAAAATTAACTTTTAATAAACGCAATAATATTTTCCCTAAATAGCTAACATAATCTTAGTAAATTTATTATTCATTTTCTTTTAGTTGATTTCTCGAACTTCTTGCAGGTGAATATGTTAAGCCTAATAATTGACAGTCAGCCTCAAGAATAGTCAAATCCTTTGTAGATCCTAAAAATTTGGTAGATAGCTCCAAATCTTTAATACGTAATCGAACTTTTGATCCTCGTACATAATCACTTCCATTACGATTTGGTCTTTGGCATACACAGTGAAATTTCCAACCGAAGTCAATATATAAATCGTCTCCTACAACGTGATAAATTGTTCCTGTAACAATTTTACCTTCTGGATCTCCAAGCTAAAATTGATTAAAATGTTAAATAAATACTTAGGGATAACAAAAATAGCAAAACTATTACATCAATAAATTTAGAGTTCCTTAAAAGACTTGCAAAAGTTTGTGATGGTTCTTTAGACACTTCCTGTTCTATTGGTTTTGAATGTCTTTCAAATGCTTTGGCAAATCCACCCTTTTCTGTATTACTTTCAGTAACATTTGAAGAAATACCAGATATCGGATTAGTACAATAGCTTCTCAAAAAACTTTCAAAAAAGTTTTTGGAACATGTTCTAACAGACATTAATTTTACGATTCCCATAGCTTTGAACGCACAAAAATAATCCAACTATGTATTCATATAAAAAAAAAAAAATAAACAATTATAAAATTAAAATAATAATAAAAAAAAAAAAGTTGGTTAGGTACAAACTTCACTTCACAATTGAAATGTCAATGTAATGTCAATTTATGTTATTGATGTGCTGCCGTTACCTAAAAAATTTTTAATAAAAAAATATCACTAGATGGCTCTTAAATTTGAACTTAAAAGAAATATATATACATATTTCACAAAAGAATATTGTTTGTATGGTTTGTAATTCAGCATACTAAATGCATTTTTAAAGTGGTTCAAGCGTAAACCAACTGTGCAAACAAATCTACACTTTGTTAAAACAACAACTTGTCTTACAGTTTGGTCAAATTTTAATATGTTTTTATTGTTTACTTCAGTAAAATTGCAATAGATGTCCTGTTAGTGTTCGTAGCATTAAGGTAATTTTAATTTTTTTATTAAAATTTTTATAAAAATTAAAATTTTTAGCCTTATGTAAACACACATGCTGTTATAAATCTGAATAAATACGAATTAACATACAGCATACAATATACAGCAATTCATGTGGCAAATACTTATTTCAAGAAATTATCTCTTATCATAAAGCTAATAAATCAACATTACCTCGTGGTAAAATGTCATACCGTTGCTTCAACAAATTATTTTCATATAATAAACAATGTCATTGCGCAGATACCGTTATAAAATCCATATGTATAAATATTTTTTTTTTTTAATTAAAATTTTAAAAGCTCTTTATTTGAGGAAAATGAGTATGCAATTCCAAAACAGTTTGACTAAAAAAGTTTTGAAAATTATGCTTACAGCCAAAAATTTATTTCAAATTTTATTCAATAACATTAAAATTAAAAAATAACTATTGTAGGTATGGGAAATTTTTTTTTCGATTTGTGCATAGAGATTTGCAAATTCGATCTGATTGACTCTTTACGCACAAAGGTTATTAAACTTGCGTGGTAATAAGACAAGGAGCATTAATTCAAAAAAGTAACTCAAATCTTATTAAATCAGTATTTATTATTGATTCATCAAAATTTTAATGTTTGGACCATGAACTAAAATATAATATGAATTGTAAGTGCACATTAGCAAGAAGACTTTATTATCCATACTGAAAAAAAAAAGAAAGCAAGAAATCAAAAAATGTAAAAGCACTTTGAACTCTAAGTGCAAGAATTTAAAGAAATAAAGTACAAATCGGAAAGCTTTTTCTTATGGAATACTCGTTATTTTACTGTACTACTATGTACCCTAATCATTATCTACATTTATGTATATCACACATTTAATACGTACGTACGTATAACAATTTTTATCATTCACCTCAATATCTTATAAAATAGCTTTAGAAAAAGTTTTCCTGAACTAAATAGAAAATAAAAAAAAAAATTGGAAACTTTTTTTTGTTTTACTTGAATTCGTCTAGTGTCTAGTCTTTCTCGAAATTTGTCACCTGAAATACGCTTTTCCGAAAATCAAATATACAAAAAAAAAGAATTTTTCTGTTTTTGTTTTTTTATTTGTCTTTAATATTTATTATTTAAATAAAATATACAAGAGTGTTAGTGTAATTAATTTGTTTTTTTAATTCCTATTAAAAAATAAAATTTTAAATTTTTATTAATTATTCAAAATTACAAGAATTTTTGTGAAATTCAAGAGTGCATTTTAAAAATTAAAAGAATTTTCATAAGAATCTTATATAATTTGTAATTCTATGTGAAAAATTAAAATTTCCAATCGATAGTTTGTTTTTTTCTACACGAAAATTGATTAATCATGTGTATAACTTCTAAAAGAAGTTTCCATTAATTGCCGCTCCTATTATCACTTTTGATTTTGAAATAAAGAAAATTGTCAGAAAAAGGATTTCAACTACAACACATCACTGAAATTTCCTGCATCACTTATACATAATTTTATTTTCAAAAATAATAAAAATTTAAAAGTGAAATTTTAATTCAAAAATTTACGAGAATAAATTAAATTTTTTGGTCCGATGTCATTATAAATGTCAAAGTTGAAAATTTACATTAAATGATACGTATGTATATGTATATAACAGTTAAAATACAGGCTATATAAAAAAGAGGAGGAAAAAATTATATAATTATAAAAATATATTAATATTAAAGAAATCAGAGCTGTAAATTATGGCATTAATTAAATCAAAATCAATTCTATTTAAATCAAAATCAATTATTGTCAATCGATTTATCCTGCCAACAACAAATTATTTTTCAACAAGTACAAATAGTAATACAGAAATTAAAGAAAATTCTCAACAAAATTCAACAATAACAACATCACATTCATCTAATAATGCACGAAATGTGGTATGTATACAAAATAATATAAAATAATAATTACACCTAAGTCCTCAAAATACGACATTTTTTAATTTTAAGATTTTATGCCGTAAATTGAATTGTATTTAATTAGAAAATTTATTTTTTAATTATTATGTTATTATAATCAAATTTTATAATCCAATTTTAACAAAAATAAATAAAATAGAATTGAATTGAATTGTTATTATGTAAATATGTCACTTTGATTCGTATTTTTATAACTTCTATGACTAATGTCAGGAGAAAGGCTACAATAAGTCAGAAATGGTTACAGTGTCTCGGTGGATTCTCCTACCCCATACTCGATTCACTTAAAATCTATACAAATTTCAGGAGAATAAAAAGAATTTATTAATTTTTTTTTTGTGCGCTTCAACTTGTTTTGCTGTAACTCATAATTGTACATTTCTTTATATTTTGACACTATTAATGAATATTTTCGCAAATAAAATTACATCTTTTGGAAATTGAATAATATTTTTCAAAATTTTCTACAGCTCTATTAAAATTTTTCTAATATAATTTTATTAATTTCGAAAATTCAATTGTTTTTGAGCCATTTTTTCTTTCATTATTAATATCTGATTTATCTGATTAGAACTATTATTATCAACATTTTTGTTTTCTTAAATATCAATTAGATCTTCATAAATTAAGACGTCTTATAATGACTTAATGTAATGTCATTAAGACGTCTTAATGTCAATGAGGTCTGTAATATCTTGTCGTATAATTCGAAATTTCGTATTATTAGAAGATGTCGTATTTCTAGGACTGGGTGTATATAAAATTTTTCATTCAAATATATTATATTATTAAATATAATTTATTAATTATGTATTTGTATTGTATAACAACTATATAAATTGCAATTTTTTTTTTTTGCTAATAATATAATTTTTTTTTTGTTTTCATTTAAAATAAAATCCTTGAAATTTTTCAATAAATATTGTAGAATTTTATATATACATATATATATATATTTTGTTAAAATCTACTACCGACACACATATGTATATATATGTAAGTATATACAATATTAGAACCACCTGATAATGAAATTTTTTTTTTATTATAAATATTTATATTTTTATTATACTTTTCTTATTCTTTGCAAAATGAAAAGAAAAAAAATTATTATTGATGAAATGCCAAAATTTATGTTTAACAATAAGTATGTATTTATATACGTTGTTTATGCGTAGGAATTTAAATATGTATATGTACATATATAGATTTTGTATTAAATTTTAAAAATATACTTAATTACTTATAATTAATTTTTTGTTTTTGTTAAACTAAGTTTGGCAAAACAACATTTTAAAGTACGTTCATATATATATATATATATATATATATATATATATATACTAATTGATTTAATTTAAAAATAAATTTATTTTTGAAATGTTAAAAGGAAAATAATTATTATAAAAGTATTTATTTTAATTTTAAATATTTTAAAAAATTTTTAAAAAAATTTTTAGTTTCAAAATTTTTTGGATAAATTTTAAATATTTAATTTTGAATAATAAAATTATGAATTTAACTTTTGATCATACTCCCAATTGCAAGAGACGTGTATTTTTCCAAGAGTGCATTACAACATTAAGATACATATATATATATCATATATATGTAAAAAGTTTTACCGTCATACAAACAACATTAATTTTCTAAATACAATAAATTTTTTTCGCTGTTCATTTTATTAAAATTAAAATTTTCTAGAATTTAATCTCAACAAAATTTAATCACTCTACAAAATTTAATCTCCATATTCCCTTTCCTCCATATTTAGTTATATTTCACGATTACAATAGAAATTTTGGAAGGAATATATTGAACAGCCTATAATCGTGTATCTCACTCTTTTTTACTCACTTTTTTATTCACTCTCAAATCAGAATTCTCAGTATTTTTTAATGGATATTTAATTTTTTCTAAAATAAGATTGCTCATCTTTTCAATTAGATTTTTGCATTTTTTCTCAAATTATCAACTGAACGTATCACTTTCAAAAACAAAGTGAATAAATTTTGCATGCATTTTAGAGGAAAACGAGATACGCAATACTAAATAATTCTTCTCACTCGAAAATTACATTATACAAATTCATATGATATTTTGCTCAGTTTCTTCTCACTTGCCGAGTAAATAGAGAGATAGACGATCAGATTTGGGAAAATTTATTAATTTTTTTTTTAAATTTATAACATTGACTCTTAAAATTTTCTAAAAATTAATTTTAATTTCAGTTCCTCATGCAATTTAAAATGAAATTCCTTTATAAATTCAAACTAAAATGTAATTCAATTAAAATGTGCATTTACGATATAGGTAATTTTTCTTTAAAATTACGTCACAACCACGGTATAATATTAATGAAAATTTTCCAGAATAATTTTGCATTATGCTTGTTGAATTCCTGTTCAATACTTACTTATTTTCCTACCCGTACACAACAATACAAGGGTTAAAATTTCGAAATAAATTTCATACAAAAATTACATAATTTTATGATTTAACTTTTAAAATCCTGCGGAAATTCATTTTAACATTGACATTAACATTCAAATACACACTGTTCACAACACTTTAACATTTCAGACACTATTTTATAATATAAACGTACACATATTTATTTGTATGTAGATTAATATTCTTATTTTATAAAAATAAAATTTATGAGTAAATAAAAAAAAAAGCGTAAATTTCACGTCAGAAATTCTTAAATAAATAATAAAGAACAAGGAAAACAAATATGTGATAAAAAAAAAAAATGAAAAATACGGTCAGATGCCTCTCAGAAATTTTAATATGATTTTTATCAAAATTAAAAAATTCTAAAATTATAATAACAAAGTAATAAAAAAATTTTATTTTTGTAAATCATCAAACATTAAAAAAAAAAAAAAAATCTTGATACGAGCCCCCAAAATAGATGATGTTTTTTCATGAAAATTACAAAATAATAAAAACAAAAATAGAAATAAACATGTGATCGTATTGGTTAATAACTTGAAAATTTTGAAAATATTTTGTTTTCCATAATTAGCATAAGAAAATTATAATTTTATAATTTTGATCTTAAAAAGGTTTGATCTTATTTAAAATTGATAACCTTTGCGATTACCGAAACATTTTTTTTTTTCAAAAATTTGTTGAGGCTGTCCCCGGCAACGCAATTATCTTGGGCAGAGTTTTCTGAGCGTTCAGAAAATGTAGTCCAATTGCCTTCAGGATATCTCCAGTTTTCTACTGATAGCAGGGGTATTATAAGCGGAAGCATGAGAAGTCTACAATAAGTCGTGATAAATTGGAGGATATGTCCTCTTGCCTCACTCAGTTCCCTTGGAATCTACCGAATCTAGCGAAATAAAATATTTGTAATATTTTAATTTACGTTTTTATTCTAATATTTTTCATTCAATACAATTTTTATGCCTAAAACAATACGATGCTTTAACGCACATAATATTATTGCATATTTATAGGGGTACAAACTTTTGATTTTAATTAACTAAACAATGTTGTTGCATTGCTTAGCTTCAACTATTAAATTCATAAGTCAATTTTCAATAGTGGTCCAATAGATTTTCAAAAATTTAGTCCAGAATCGAAAACCTTCATTTTAAAAGATTTTATTAAAGATTTCATTAAATTGGAGACAAATTCGTTTCACAATAAATTAACGCATTTAATAACAAAATAAATAGCGAAAATTATATACAGGATTTTAGTAATTTCAAAGCCAATGTAAATCAAATGGAACATTTTAGAAAAAATAGTTTAAAGTTTATTCTTAATTAACGTAAATTTTAATAATCAAATTTAAAATTAATCACGAAAAATCACAATAAATCAAATAAAAAGTTTTATTAAAATTTTCTTATTCTAACTAGTAATATTGGATTTTACACTGAAATATGTAAATTATTACAAAATATCCAGACTTGTTACTTCCTTTACATAATATTTACTGTTATGTAATTACATAATATTTACTATTTAACCGTGTTATTATTCTTTGTCTCGCACCAATGAACGCGTTGGTAAATGAAAAAAAAAAACTTAAAATTTTTGATAACACAAAATTAACACTATACAAACAAAAAAAAAAAAAACTGTTTCATTACACCACTTATGTCATAAGTCGGATTTTTCTCTTTAATAATATATGCGTATAAATTCCCCACACTTCTTATCAGAATTAAATTAATTGTATACTTTGAATTTTTGTTTTTTTTCTGTTGTGGGCTAGGCAACATAAATTATATTGCTGTTCCATATAATAATTTGTACATGAAGTAATTGTCATAATAAAATATTTGAGAAAAAAACAACCAAAAATATTATATTATACACATACATACATATATATATATACGTAAAAATATATTTAAAAAAAAAACATAATTTTTAATTTATTATCACGCCGTCGATGAAGAGAAACATTGATTTAATAAAATTTCGCCGGGTGATAATTTCTACAAAAAAAGAAATAAGAATTGTTGTTGTATTTTTTTGACCTAGACAAAAAATTAGAGTAAAAATTAATTAATTCATTGTCAACTTAGTGATTTATACAAATATTCTCGAGCAGTGTATATTTTGTCTTAATTACCTGCCGGCTTAAGATAATAAAAAAATTTTATTGTACGTATAAAATTTAATGAACTTTAGAATGAATACCTTTTTGAATTACGTTATTATGACTCAATTAAATGTATGACTTTACCTACTTACTCGAATTTATATATAGCTAGTAAAAATTTGTAAATTTAAGAAAAATATTGAATTTCACCATAGAATAATTAACACATTTTTATTCATAAAATAAAATTTTAATATTTTCACCATATGGTCAAACTCAATTTAAAACTTAAAACTTGAACAATTTACCAAATAATTTAAAATTTATTAAATAAATTACAGATTTAGTTTTAGTTTAATTCGGATTTTTACGGTATTAAATTTTCAACATAATTATGTCATTTTATTTACAGGTCATATTTTAATCCATTAAAACTCAATGACATAAGCTATTCTGTACAGTAATCTATGACATTGAAATGTAAAGCATAGTGAAATAAAATATAGCAATATAGAATACAACAAAACAAATCTCAACCCTTACAAGTTTTATTTAGTTTTTTATATTTAAAAAGAGTAACACATACGATTATCGTCTATTTATTAAAAATGTGGCTGTGCTTTATATAGTTGTGTTTTAATATCATAAGAATAAATAGTATAACACCTTATTACTAAAGAATACCAATAGCATGCAAATTATATTATTAGTCTAGCGTAATATTCTATGTTATTAGACTATAATGGATATAAAAATAAAAAGATTTAAAAGGTTTCATTAAGTCGTGTGTGTTTACTTTCGAATTTTTACTATACGATCTAGCATATTTTTGAGAAAATTGAATTTGCAATTTGCAGACATAGAAGGGAAAAAATGCAGAAATTTTTAAATTGCCATTACGAGTAGTTGTAAAGACTTAATGTGTCATAAAATTACAAAAATAATTTTTAAATTCGCCTAACGTAGAAAACAATGACTTCTCTCGTATAATACCTTAATATTTATAATAGTTTATAGATACATGCAATTCGGATAAAGGTACAGTTTAAAATTGGCAAATCTGTCTGCCAAATCAATTTTGTCTGCGCAGACAGTATAAATTTTCGAAGTTTAAGATATTAACCATTTATAAAAATGAATAAAAATCAAATAATTTGATTACTAAAAAGTTTGCAAAAATTTTAATTAAAATTTTAATTTTAAGTGACAGGACGGCCGCTATGAGGACGCTCCGACGTGCTGCCCAACTTCTGGTAACATTTTACTGCATCATAGATAGTCATTTTTTGGTAACCAGTCCTCCTTACAATCTCAACTGTCTTCATACCTATCCTGTGTAATTCTATAATAGTAATACGCTTGTTATCGCGATTCATTTCTAGGCTAACAAAAAATAAAGACACAGTTAGCAGGTCACTTGAGGTAAAATTGCACGACGAATACAAATAATGAAACCAAATTGAAACCAAAATTTAAACAAGAAAAATTAGTATTTCCAAAAGTACGACAACTTTTCAGACATCCTGTATAAACGTAATTATTTACTTCATCTGACTCAATTACTCCTTCTCATCCCAAATATATGCAATTTTGCACTATATAGCACAATTCTTTGGTATTTTTTAAAACTTTGCCTCAAATATGCTACAATTAATTAATTTAATAAACCATTTAAAATAAATTCACACTTCAATTAAACTTTTACATTCATTTTTGCTCTCTTTCTTTTCAGAATTATGCAGAGACACTTAAAAATTTTAAGAATGCACTCTCTGGAATCGCTCGACAAGTTAAAAGTGGCGGAAGTCCTGGGTAAGATAAAATAATTTTACAACATTTTTAAATAATCAATTTAAAAAAAACAAAAAATCGCAGATAAAAAAAATTAAATACCGTTTAAAAACTAAAATATCCCACTCACTGTTAATCTCAAGCATTGTTTTGACTTAAGAGTACTCTCTGTATATTTTAAGTGTTGTACAATACACAAGAATTAATTCAAATAAGCATTTATATACTATACACTATATTTATATTTATTTATTATACACTTATGTACTCTGTATAATCCAATTTTATATTTAGTTAGGAAGAATACAATGTACAGCAGAATAGATAAATATATGGGTGTATAAATGAGTGTAAATGTGTTTCATACTTAATATGTGGTTTAATGTTAAAATATTGATTTTTGTTTTTTCTTTTCTGTTATCCTTTTTACCAAGGCCATTATTCTATATTTGAATGTTTTTGTGTTGAATTTATACAGATTGCTTAAGCAGAATGTATAGTTACGCATATTATGTAATCACAATTTAAAAAATATTTTGCACTATGTATATGGTAGGTTTATTCAATTGTGAAGAGCGTATAAAATCACACAATGTGATTTAGTTTACACTAAAATTTCATGAAATTTTCAAATCATTAATGTTCTGTATTATATAAACAGTCTTAAGCTCTTAATTAGGGTGAACATGAAGCAGTTCCATGTAGAGGAAAAATTTGAGCTTTAAAAAAACTTGCTTATCTGTGAATAAAAAGAAAAATTGCTATAGCAGTGGTTCTAACCGTTTTATAGCTCGTGGCCTCAAAGAACAGTTCATTTGCTTGGATAGCCTCCCCCTTTAAATAAAAGGCTTTTTAGCTAAAATTTTCATAAAATTATAAAAATTTTACAAAAAAAAAAAAATTCAGCATAAAAAATTTTTTTATGAATCTCATTGAGAAGTTTTATATAGTAAGATATTTTCTGATGATAATAAGCCAATTTTTTACATAATAAAGTGTACATACCATATTTAAAAGAAAAATTCTGCGAAATATTTATAAATCGAAAACCTATGGAACCTATGTTATTAGAAGTAATCATGAGTTAAACGAAATAATAAACAATGCAGATATTGTAAGGTGTATTAAATCGCAAAGGTTAAAGTAGCTGGGCCATATAATGCGAATGGAATATGATAGAAAACCGAAGAATGTATTGCAAATATAAATCCGACCAAGCAAGAAGACGAGATAGACCTAAAAAGGGGTGGCTTAATGATGTTGAATACGATATAACCAATATTGGTATTGTAACTTACAAAGAGAAAAACAACAGATAGAGAAATGTGGAAGGAATATATCATGGAGGCAAAAAACCATCCAGAGTTGTAGGTCAAAAGAAGAAGAACATAATAAAGAGTAAAATTTTTGTAAGCTTTGAAACGAATTGGTATAGCACACAGTTGCTTCATTGTAGAAGGAAGATACTTCCTAGGCTTTCTCTAGTAATCATACGATAAGTATTAATGATATTGTTATAATGATTTAGTTGCATGTACTCAACTATGGAGTCGTTTGCAATTTTGCTTCAAGATGCGCTGTGGCCCACGTTGAGTAACATGACACTATAGTTTCATTAATTTAGCTTAAAATATCTGATATTTTTAATTAACAATGCACGAAAATAAATTTAAATGAACTAAATTTATTTTATCCTCTATAATTTTTTAATTCTCAATGACCTTTTAAAATCTATAATAACAGAGTCATTGTATTTTCGAAAAGTTCAAAATTCTATTAATATTATTTAAAATAATTTTCTTATTTTATATATTTATTCTCGATCCTTTTATAGGTCATCTCTTAATTATCACTCACAATATTTTTAATTAAAATTTTATAATTAAATGGAAAATATGAAAAAACACATGATAAAATCATTAACTATTTTTCTTTTAAAACAAAGCCTGACTCTTAAATATATTGAATAAAGATTAACATTACTTGCAAAAATAAATTAATTAACACCTTAAATATTTTTATAAAAAAAAAATTTTTATCGTAAATTATCTATGAAATTCAAATGTTGTAAATTAATGCTTTATTCTTTATTTCATATCAAAAAAAAAAAAAAATTCTTAACTTCTCTGAAAAGTTGCTAATTTTTTCTTTTTTAAATTAATAATCAAATAATCACGTTTTAATTTTTTTCTCTTTTCAAATTTTAATAATCCCGTGATAATTTTTTCTTCCCAAATTGTATTACTACTATTATTTTGTATAGTTAATTTACTACTTAGTTAAAATTAAAAATATTTGAAAATTAAATTAAATTAACTATATAATGAGATGCAATTAGAAATTTTAAATATTTTCTTATACTATTTTTAAAAAAAAAATTATTCTACAATTTCTCATATTTATAATAATTAAAAAATTTAATGTCTTAAACTTGTAGTATAGTAATTTTACGATATTTTCAATATTTGCAAATTTTTAATAAAATTTTCTATAATTCTGTGTCGCAAGAACCATACAAGAGTGTTATACATTCAAGAATATGAGTGGTCAACGTATAAGTCTCACCTTAAAAAAAAAAACAAAGATCATGATAACAAAATTGAAAAGAATTTCATCATCTTTTTTTTTGTGTTGTTAACACAATTAAATGCTATAATTATACGGTCTAGAGCGAAAATATATCATCAAATATATTATTTTATTTAGCAAAATGATGAAATTTTTAAAATGATTTGAAAAATTACCTATCGTATAACACAATTTTGATGAAATGTATATGATTGCATTTTTGAAAAATTACATAACTGAGATTGGAATATTTAACATGGAACAATAATAATCCTTAAGAGATTTTATTAATTAAAAACATATAAAATTTTATGCAATCATCATATGAAATTAACCTATTAAGATTCTCAGATCCGAATTTTTGAGACATTAAAATCCGAACAAAAATTTAGGCTTCGTGTAAATTACAACAATCTATTATTATATAAGTTGACTATTCCTATTTAATTACCGACCGTATTGTGTAAACAATAGGTCGGTTATGTGATGGCAACAAATTTTGCGTATCGAGTTTTCGGTGGGAACGTACTTCTCCATAGTAGGAAAGTGTAAATAAAGTATTTTTAGCAACCTGTCGGTCTGTCGGTCTGTCGGCCTACATTTTTTTACATTTTTCACCATATCTACAGAACGAATCGATGGAATTTCTTAAAATTTAATATTTGAGTTCTGGTTGTTACTAACTGGCGAGCATTTCAGTGAATTTGGATAGCACAAAGTGAAACTCTACTAAGAGCCAAATTTACATTTTTCTAGGTATGTTAACTATAAGCTTACTAATGTCCTAAAAATTGGAAAGAAGTATTTAACAGACATTTTTATAATATTCTGTTATACTTTCACTTAACTAGACAATACACATTGCGGTCGGTTATATGGTGACCACATCAGATTGTTTTTTATTCGTTTTTAATTTTTGAAAATTCCCATGTGATTCAATTCAGTTGTCAAATTCAAATTGATTCAGTTTGCAATTTTAAAATAGAAAAATCATTCGAAATGATGCCTCTAAATTATTTTAGTCGAAACGAGATTTCAAATATATCCCCTCGCAATCTCTATAATTTATAAAGATTAACTGATATCAATTGTAATTTTGGAAAAATACTAAAAATGTATAATTATACTAATATTTCGGCCGAAATACAGAGTAAAAAAGTCGTACCTAACATTTACATTCAATTATATGCAAAGATAGAGAGATGGCAGTGATTGACCCCAACGATTTAAGTAGAAATTACTTGCAAATTTCTTTCAAGCATTTTCAAAAATTTTAAATTTGCGGCCACTAATTACAGAACTATTTTTTTACAATATTATATGCTTTTGATTTTTTCAAATTCAATTTATGAAACGTTTTTATTATATAAATCTTTGATTGACACATAAATAAAAAAAATTTGACACGTAAATGAAAAATTGTCACGTAAATTCAATATAAATGACGACTTATCGCCATTATTATAAAAATTATGCATGTAAGTAAAATAATGACGTGCAACCATAACTGATTTCAATCAAAATGTGTCAATAAAACTATTAAAAACAAAAATATTTTACTAGATAATACCAACCAACACACACACACACACATTTCACTTCTCCCCCTCAACTTCGACAAAAAATCTCCATAACCTTTTTTGAACTTGAAAATCAAAAAAATTTATTAATTGTTGTCTATAATTAAAATATAGTTGCCGATTTCAAAATTTATTATTAATAATCATAATATAACAAAAAAAATGATAATTTAAAAAGTAAATTCTATATATAATTTTCTATATAACAAAAAAAAAATAAATAACAATAAAAATATATTTGAAACGTAAAATATGAAAAAAATATAAAGAGAAAAATAAAATTTTACTGTTGAGTTTAAGTCAATATTTTTCCACTTTTTTATACTATTATACACTAATATTATTATATAAAAAAAAAAATTAATTGTCAAAATTTTAACATACGATTTTACCCACACTTCATAACCCGATACTATTATTGTGTATATAATAATATGTATAACAGTTTTCAATAAAAATAAATAATATTTTGTAATTTTTCTACATTATTGTTGCCTACATACCTCAAATTAGAATTTTAGCATACACGATTTACATAAACGTGTGAAAGTTATATTATTATAATATATGAATACATATATATATATATATATAACAGTTTTTTGCATCAAATTAAATAAATGATACTCGTAAATATCTAGAATTATTCAGTTAGATATTAAGAAAAAAAAACAATATTTACTTACAATATAATTCAAAAATAATTTTTACAAAACTGGCATACAATATTTGCATCGTACACAAACTATTAAATATTTGTATTTTTCGAAAAATTATTCTAAAATAAATATTAATTAAAATATTTTTTTTTTCTTATAAAGTTCAATAAACCATTATACAAAAAGAGAATAGAAATTTTCAAGAACAGCGTAA